CTAAACGCTTGGCTAACTAGCTTCTACTACTTGGCCACTACTACTATCTGGCATTCGGAAAGATGCATGGTCGTGAGTTTTGATTTTTGTTTTCCTGGCTTCGGTATGATGCATGTACATACATAATTCTGGGTCTTTGTTTTGACTCGTTGTCCCAAATATTAAATTTTGATTTTATTGATGTTGAATTTTCCTTGATTCAAATGGAAGGAAAAACACATGCCGTGATCGATGAAACTTGTATAAGGGTGAATCCTATTTTGTTCGGCTTCCATCGCTGTTAGCCTGTTAGCAGTGTACGTAGTGTGTCTTTGTCGAGACAAGATGAAATGATCGGACTCCTTTTCGATTCTCTTTTCCTTCCTTTCGGCTTTGGATGTAAATGCCGTACTGTGAAAGATATGGTTGCCTTTTTATGTCTCTTTGCTATTTTGGATCCTTGAGTTGGATTCGGGAGGATATGCAATACTGTTGATGCAACATACTAGGCTAGCTGGATCTAAGAGCAATTGAGTCAGCTTAATTTGTTCTTTATAAACTGCTCGTTTAGGATCCCTATGAATGCATGCTTGATCCTAGATTCCTTTCACCTCTTTTTTTTGTTGGAACCTATAGGTCATCATATATACAACCAATACGTTTTACTTTGTGAGTGCAAATTAATTAAGTTGGTTACTTTGTATGATGGAAGAGTTCACAAGTAATATCAACAAGTGCACGCATATATAACTTAATATAAGATATTGGACACGCATTGATCGACCTTACCTTCTTGTTGGCGAGCACATGATTGACACGTATGTATACAGAACAATTATAATAAACAAAGGCATTCACAATGGGTATTGGGAAAACTTTCTATATATTACATAGTTGGAGGATATGCTTTCTCGGGTACAAGTTTTTTTGTATAAACTTTCTATGATCATATAGACAAAATATCACTATAAGAATGTTGTTCAAATTTAGATCACAGTATGGAGATCTCTGGCTTACTTTTTCATAAACTACCATATACTCTAGTTGATTATATTTACATGAATCACAGGAAAAACTCCACATAAGTTGTGTATTTTTAATCTGGGTGAATGGAGTTGCACTTTGCAGCTTCGATAATTCGATGCAAATTAACCAACTGAAACACATTGTCCATTGATAATTTATTAGCATAACAATTATTGTACTATTTTGTTTGGCAAGCTCTCAAATATCTTGTTAACCGTGCCATTAGCATTTAGCTAGCAAATTAACCAACTGAAACACAAAAGTTTCTCAGTATTAACATAGTAACTCACAGGGTCTTTATCAAATGGCACGTAAATGTGATGGATACATGTGGTTCTCTCTTAAGGCATTGCCAGTACTTGAGCACGTTCAAAACTTTAAACTAAAGAATAAAGTGATACTGTATATACTTGGCAGCCATTTATCATGTCATGTATGTTTACTTGAAAGATGATGAAACGTCCGTAGTGCTGCATGTCTATTGGGACATTAATTTACTATATCGGTACACGTACTTTGTGCCATCACGTGTGCATACGTGAAACTATTTAAATGGTGGTGTACACATAGAATACAGTTAAGGTACATGCATGTGTGTCTTCGATACTTCTAATCACATAAGGCTCCTTGAATTATACAAAAAATTAAGTGTTTGATTGATAATTCCTTGCTGTATTACATCTACTTTACAAGAAAAAAAAATCTAGTCGGATCATACAGTGTATCTCTTGCATATGCGCGTGCTGCAACAAGCCAAAGGGTGAGATGATATTTTTCGTACTCTGAAATGATGAGCCGTGTTGTCTTCATCGGAGCAATTGGAGAACACATAAGCTCATGCAATTGTATAGGCACTTCAATTGCATGTGCACGCATGACACCACACACATGTGTGATTCTTATATGAGAAAAGGAGAACTCAATAATGTATTATATACATTACAATCTGATTGAATTATTATTTATTAACGTTATATTACTCATGACGTACATAATTTAGAAATAGTAAAATGGGCCTGACAAAAGGCGTAAAGTAAATTATGTGATGGGCTTTTTAATTAAGTCCACTCAATGTTGGTATATTTGAAGAGACTTCACAATAACTTGAGCTGTTGAACGCAGTGTTATTTATATTTGGTAATGGGTTCAAGAGCTAACCCGCCCGGGTTTAAGTCTTCAACTGGTCACATATGTTGCATTTACGATTAATCTTTCAGTGGCAGACGACATCTACATCAATAACGAGGCGTCTGTAGTGAATTCATGATTCTCAAGATTAGCCAGACCAGTCTCTAGTAGGCGTTTTACAACATTCCCACAATGCTCACACGTCAACAACACTTGCTATAAATTCAATGACACGTCAGCATTTTGTAGGAATCTTGTAAATTTTTTTGTAAAGGCAACATTACTCGGTGTAGCATGTGCGTGCATGTATTTCTCAAGGTCTGCGCAAAGTTCTATATATTATTAATCCTTATGTTTACAATAACAGATAAGAAGTGTAATCAACTACACGGTGTGCATTCATTTGACAGTTCAACCTTTTCGTCGCTCCACTATCACCTATCCTTTTCAACAGTCCTCTTTAGCTTAAGTAAGCAACGTGTGTATATGAACAGTCTTTTCATGTGGCACATACATCTTCTGAAACAACGACTCCTTGACAACTAACTAGTTTTAATTAATGAAGCTTTTTCCCAAGTGACTGTACATATGCATGATGCAAGATAAGATCATATATTCGACTATCATCGCTGGCCAGGATTAAAAACATAGTTTGTGTGCTAATGTCTTCCCTACCTTACCTGCTGTGGTCTAAGCAAAAGGGAAAAAGAAAACACCCAATAAACTGCTAGTACTAATTCGTTGAATTTCACCTACTGCAGGAGGGAGGGATTTTTGTTGCAGGCTTTTCACACGGAATCCCTGATATAGCACAAAGTTCAGATGCATTTTATGTGTAGCGGGATTATTCAGTTATCCATATCATTACATTAAGAGATACCTGGCCTCACTTAATTATATATTAGCATCTTTCATCTTTTGTGTACTGGATTCCTGAGTCGAACGAAACGCATATATTCCAGCGCTTATAACTAATTCTACGCTCTGCTGATCATGCAACATATTGCAGTTTAACAGTTATCAGACGTACAAAGCAAAACCTAATGGAGGGCAGCTTAATTATAACTAGCTACGTATAGGTAGACAGGTAGTGGCCATGGTTTACACGTTGGTGAGGTCGCAGATTCATCCATCAGACAGATAGGTCGAGGGAGATGTCAGGCAGGACAACAAGATCCGAAAGCAGCGCACCTAAAAACCCTTTAGAAAGGCCGGAGCCTTTTCCACAAGGGTTACACCAACCAAGAAGACTCTCTAGTGGAGGAAAACATCGATTGCAAAGGACCCGCCCTCTCTCTCTCTAGACGTGTGTCGTCTGTGACTGTGTGATGATAGCCTACTCCTGAAGAGCCCTGAAACCCCCACTACATACATGGCATGCAAATGCACTAGCTAAACCACAGCACCGCCGGCATCTTTTGCACCTCATCTCTGTAGAAGGAAATGATGATGCCCACGCGCGCCTTGGCAGCATATTTGTGCCATCATTTTGCCCATCTTGTTCGTCACCAGCCATGCATCATCTCATCTCTGTGTTCCTCCTCCCCCAATCAGGGCTTGGTCCAATAACCCATCATTATCCATGGGCTTCCGTTTGAGAATTTGGCCCAGGAACAGCAACTATATCCATTTAATCTGATTTGCACTACCTTATCCCTGGCGGCCTAAACTGTCATGAAACTCGATCGGAGCTGTGTACTCCGTAATGTTTATTTTACTTTGTTGTATGTATATGGTCAGCAGTGTTATACATCGTAGAATTATGAACTACATTACCTCAACTTGCAAAAGGTAGAAAATGTTCTGTACCATGGCAGCATGTGTCCTTCCACACGGTTTGCATAAGGTATGGTGCGGTCAAAAGACTCAAAACTGAGTGCCTGGCAGTGGTTGACAGGTAGACCCAGGTTCCTGTCTCAATATTCGCATGTCAGCCACTCCGGACACATTCAAGGTTGGTGACACATGTGACTACCGACTAGTCCAAAGCCCCCACACGCTCGACCGCAACCTCTTTACTCCATTTAGCTATTGCTCTTTTCAGCAAAGGATGTGCAATGGTCGGCTAGATTTTTCTTTTCTTCTCGAAGAACATGACGGCATGAGATATATTATGCGTGCGTCACGTTGCAGTCTTTTTTTTTTTGAAAAATGTGATGAGAAAAGAGATGATGACTGATGAGAGGCATACTGAAAATCCTATCAAAGATGCCAAATTTTCTCATGAAGGCCTCGTACCGAAAGGAAACTTATGATGACTCAGGGCCTCAGCCTCACATATTTATTATCATAATAAAATGAGATAAATATGTTAAAATAGAATCGGGTTAAACTTAAACGACAAACATGAATTTTAAGCAGATGTTAGTTCCTTGCCAAAAAGAAGAAGAAGAAGAAGAAGAAGAAGAAGAAGAAGCTGATGTTAGCAAGAAGCTGGAATTAATTTAGGAACATGCAGAAGGACCTGGGTACATTTGAATTACATGTACAGTTAAAGTTCTTAATTCTGGAGTTCAAAAAAAAAGTTCTTAATTCTGGGCCTGTACCAAATGGACCCTGAAGCAAGAATGGATACATCACGGGGCGCTTGAATGGGCCTGGCGGTCCGCCATGGCCAACGTGCTCACTAGTGATGGCCAACGGGTGGCCCGACACGGCACGGCACATTTAATTTGGGGCCGGCACGGCACGCTTTTCATTTCGGGCCGTGCCGTACCAGCCCACATGCCTGTACCTCGGCCCACGGCCCGGCACGAAATAGTCTCTTTTTGTGTCTAACTGTGCCGTGCCGGCCTGCTAAACCCGCGAACACGGCGGCCTATTTTCACCTTTTCAGCCCAACAGTCTTGAAAATCTGAACAAAAATATGTTTAAGTGGGGATTTGAACCACTAACATGTAGCTTTGGAAGCAAAAGACTTACCACTAGACTACTTTAAATTTGTTGTCCTATATGAAACATAAATTATATTTGATATTGTGCCGTGCCGCCTATTGGGCCGCACCCTCGGCCCATGGGCCAACCCTTGTGTCGTGCCGATCTGGGCTTGAAATTCATCGGATCGTGTCGTGTTTGGGCCGAGCAAAAATTACATGCTTGGTGCCCGCCATCACCAGTGCTCACTGAGTCTTTTTTTAATTTATTTAAAAAAGACCTTTTTTTTTAGACCAACGTGCTCACTGACTTTGCTACGCACCGTCTGTCCTCCTCCTCGAGAAGGCGCCGGCAGAGGTAGCTGCCGCCGCCAGCCGTTGTTGGAAAAGGGATCACAGTAGTACTGGAAAGCCAACTTAAAAAAGTGGGCTGCGATAATTTTCGGCGAGTGGAAATTAATCCTTACTTCAGTAAACAAACAGTAGCTGTTCGATGTGAAGATTGGACTGCAGCCACAAACAGACACTTTTTTCTCTTGGTCATGCAATTATAAATTCTTAATTAGCAAGAAACTTTTTTTCTGCATTCGATCACATAGTACCGCTAAAACACATGTTTGCTCCATCACTTCTGGTACTCCTGCCCATCTGATGTCTAGCAGTTGTGGGTTTAATCCAAATAAATACATAAGTTTTGACATGAAAGACATGTTGAAGATTGGATTGGTGTTCGCTCCAGTGGCTATTAATTCCAGTCTTCCTCAATGTTGTTGCCTTCCTTGATGGTCCTTCAATCAGCGAGAATCTTCCCATTAGGATGTTCCTTCAATCGGCAAGAATATCCTTATTAGAGGTATTACGTTTGCCCCAAGAGTTCATCATGCATGCCATGGCATCTCCAATTGTCATGGTCTTATTATTTCAAGCCGCCGCCATTAAATTCCTCTAATGGAGGGATGGAGGTTCAAGTTGGTCCCTTCTAATTTGCCAAGGTGTGTGACTTGTTGGTCCTCCTCCTCACTAGGGATTTTTGTCTCTGGGTCATCATCCTTGAGTTGACGTCACTCGCAAAAAAAAATCAAAAATCCTTGAGGTTGACGAATGCGCGCGGATGTTGTTAGTGTTGCATTGGACCTCCCAAAGTTTTTCCAAGGAAGGAAGGGCTAGAATTGAGATGCTCTATCCTCAAGTTAAATGATTTTTCCCTGAGTGCTAGATCTTGCGGCTTATTCAAAGTTTGAGGCTCGACCATGACGTCTAGTTGGCCCAAGGCAACTTGAAGGACGACAAAGATTTGCGAGTAGTCACCTTAGGTCTTTGTGTGTTCCGCTACTTGGTGTCTGTACCAAGTTGGCGTGTCGGTCGCGGTGATGTTGTAAAACTCTCTTTTTCTCAATGAAAAAATACGTGCAATGCACGTTTTAGAAAAAAAGGACGACAAAGATCAGAGGAGACAACTAAAATGGGAAGGGTATGGGAGCTTTTTTTAACGTGTATAAATATTATCTCATTATTTTCCAGGTTTAAATTTATCTTCATGTAATTTGGTAGTATGCAGAATAAATTCGTTTTTAACATCTCCAAAAGAAATCGTCAGTATCCTTGTCATGGGCGGTGATGGATACGCGCCTGCCGGTCTTGACGCGAACTGGCTGCCGGATTTGCCCGCTGTCTGGCTCTCCGATCTGACGGTAAGTCACATCTCCAGCAAAGCAAAGGATGCATGTGTTGTGTGGCTCGAGGTCCCTCTCCCCGCCCAATGATTGGAGCCGGGCGACTGCGATCTTCCACCTCCCAGGTCAAACTTCCAGGCACGAGACGCCCATGGCACCGGAGAAAAAAAAGGCTGCCTGCGTTGGTCGCCGGTGCAGATCGAACTGTGTGTGGTGTGGTAAGCAAGCACGCGCATCAGTGGGCGCGACCCGCGGTCGTTGGTAACTTTTAGCACAGCCTGCAATGTGGTGAAGACATGTTATGTTAGTCAAACGCAGTAGTGATAATAATAACTCGATCGGACCAAGCCTAAATAATACGTAAGTGTTGGCAAAGATTAATTTCGAAACGCCCACTCAGATTTTCCTTCAGTTGCGTGGTCTCGTCGTCCGCGTTATTGGCGACATAGCGTGGGGCAAGAGAATGCTTAGTAAGGTTTTTCTTTCACTTAGGAGGCAACCGAGCGACATTTGTAGTTTCTGTGAGGCTCCAGCCTCCGACCGCACTCCATGGAACTAACGGTGAAGATGCGCATGAACCTGACAGAATGATATACCTGTCATTTACGTCATCCGTACCCTATGTTTAATCACCTTAAATATTGGTGCTCTTCCACTGCATGGATTTCGTAAAAGTCAAATGAACGACTTTCCATCTCGAGGCACGTGTTGCCAAGAGCACACAAGAGGTCAATTGTGTGATTTGGATCCTCAGGACTAACAGTTAGTCCCATATTTGGATGCTAATTAGGAGGGCTAAACATGGACTAATTGGAAAATTAATTGCAGTTTCTCTGGCTAATTTGTGAGTAGATTCTAGTGATCCTAAGTAGCCTATGTTTACTATAGCACAATATGGACTAATCATGGATTGACTAGTATCAATGGATTCTACTCACGAATTACCCTAGGATTATGCAATTAGTTTTTCAATTAGTTCATATTTAGTCCTACTAATTGACCTTCAAACATCGGACTAACAATTAGTCCGCAGGGCTCCAAACAGGCCCTCACGAGCAGATGAGTATGCCTTGGCATGAAGTACTACTTACTAGATATATAACTTGTTTCTATTTTTCAAGACAAACACTTTCACTTAATATGTCATAAGAGGTTGGCAAAAGAACTCATAATCTACCACGGTTCGAAAGGATATCCGTGAGAAATCGTAAATCTCATGAACGTTTACATGGCATTGCTTGCTAAGAATCAACCTTTGAGGCGTCCAAAATTATTGATGGTCCTTGACTACAAAAAAAACTATATGCAGTTGCCTGATACTCAAGAGAACTGAGATATTGTGTGGCCATGCATCGGGTGTTCTTAATTTGATGAATTTTGTGTCAGTACTAGAATAATACATGCTAAAGTGATGGACTTGCAAAACATAGAGTAAAACAACAACTATATTTCCTTGACTTGCAGATTTCTCCTTTTCTAGAATGCACGCTCACACAATTCTCTTTGGATGCTATGTTTCCTTATAAAGTTCTCCCACGAATTCTCAGTTTAACACATCGAGTGGTCATGTTTCTAGAATGCACATTATTTCGTAGCACATCACACCAGATTTCTTACTGAGCAAGCCAAAGAGAAAATCAATTCTTTTACAGGTGTAGTGCATATATGCAGTGGTGGACCTCCCTTGATTCAAGGGCACGCAGTTGAATGCCCAAAACCTTGAAAAGAAAATGAAGTATTCTTTTTTGTTTGATACACGCGTACATGTATACAGGTAACTAGGAACAAAATCATGTCTCTTGGAGTGTACAAATGTGGAAATGAGGACCGAAAGTCACATGTTTCATCTTCTTTATTTGAAATTTTTCTTACCTATTTGAATTTTCATACTACATTGTGTGTTTGAATGCCCGACTAATGAATCCTGGGTCCGCCACTGCATATATGCACCCAGTTCACATGGATGTTGCTGCACAAAATGAATTGTTGAATATTGCGTCCAGAACAATAGGTTGAAAGCGGAAAACAAATTCAGTCTTTAAGAAGCAAGGTTCTGATAAAAGAAAAAGAAAGTAGAAATTTGGAGAAGTTCCAATTATATGTTGAAACTCCAAATTTGATCCAATCATTTAGCCACATTCTTCCCTCAACCTTTGATCCATTTTTCCTTTCTTCCAAGATGCAAAAGGTTAAGAAAAAGGCAAGTAATGATGGTGCACAAGCATAAGTAACAAAGGGTATTGCTTGTAATGAGAAGATGTGAGGACCTTGAAAATACAAGGCCCTCAGTTCCTTCACTCAACCTAAGATGATGGATCTAGTGATTGTGGTACTATAAGAAGATCTTTTATTTTGCCAAAGACCTTTATATTAAACGTTCTGTGAACATTCTTTTTTTGTGTTTGGAAAAAAAAATCGTGTATCAGAAATATGGGGTCGATTAAGTTCAATTGTTGTTATTATTTCCTTGATTTTCTAGGATCGTGTCAGTTGAATATTCTTGTGTTGCTTGGTATATTATTTGACAGCCCCCCATAACTATGGACTAATTAGAGCATGTCAAAAAGGTTCAAATGGTCTTGGCTATAAGCGATGTAAAAACCTGAACACTATTACTATCATTGTCATTCGCTCTTCAAGATTTAGCTCTATTTGCAAAACCGCATGTGCTATCTAGTATCTACTTTTTTTGTCTAGGTTTTGGGGGCCCTTTTTTTCTTTTAAGATTAAGAGACTTTAGTATTTTTATTCTTAGATTATTCATCGATAAGCCTTATAACGCGGGCCATCCACCTCATAGGAGGCATGAGAATCTAGAGACACTGAATGAAACATGGCTGGACATAGTGCTTTTTATATAAATCTACATCTCAAAAGTAAAAAAAAAAAACTTAACATTACCTTAAAATTAGGTGTCATTTGAGACATTATATATCTCTTAGATCTGTACAAATAATAAGCATGATTATCACAGCTTGAGACTGAAAAACCCTAAAAAAACATTGATCCATAAGAGATATGAAATATCTCTCACCGAGCCACTAGTAACCATCTGAGATTTTTATCTCATGGTCCGTCAATAGACCTATGAGACATAAAACTATAAGAGTATCTTCTATGGTTCTATATATATATATATATATATATCCACAACTTGGGAGAGATAGTATTGTATAATTGGTGCAATGAGCTTTAAGTCTGTAGCTAGTTCTCGAAAAATCATTAACCTTTTCATATCGAGTTGGGTGAAGACACACTTTACATCTCTCAATAAGATCTATATATAATTGTGTAGTCGAGAGCATTCTCATTTAAATGCATCTCATTTTAAAATAATAATTGAAAATTTAATACAACAAAAAATCAAAATAGTTATCTTTTAACTAATACCCT